AGCAGTCCCAGAATCTGTTACAACTCCCCCACATGCAATCTTGCTGCCTTGTATTTGATCTGGGGTTTCTGCTTAGGAAATTAAAGGGTGTTCAAGAAATGGAATTGGAACAGGGGAGAGTGCCAAGTTCACATGCAAAGACCATCAAGAACTTATTTCGAGGAGGCAGAGTGGAAGATAATTGCCTCTCATTTAAAACACTTTTCACAACTCTGGGCCCAACCCCTGCCGACCCAGCCTCTTAGGAGATCAGCTAACAAAAGAGACTGCTTCTCCAGGCACTGACTGTCACTGGCTGACAGAGCCTTTGACAAATTAGAATTCTGCAGAAGCCCAAGTCAGACCCCCCTTGTCTCAGGTGAAGGTCGCCCGCTCAGTTCATTCTCCAAGGGAAGGTGAACGAAGAGCTGATGCTAATAGATGGAGTGGGTGGCAGCAAAGAAGCAGCTCTGTTGCGACTTAACATCACACTAACTTCTGGGCAGAACTGTAATCAGAAGAAGAAACCTGGAGACAGCACAGCCCCAAAATGGGGAGTCCCCTTACCACCATTTTCCCAACTGTCTTTGCTTGAAAGCCTGGGGGGAAATAAAGTCCTTGACCAAGTGTCTGATTTAGGTGATGGGAGGCTATATCTGTGCTGCAATTTATCCTCCTTGGCTTGTTTATTGATTGGGGTGGTGTGTGTGACATCTTTGAAAGCACACGTTCACCCACTCTGACAGCTGAGTGCATGCACCCAAATGTCATCCAGAAAGAACAGTGCACCAGACAGAACTAAGGACTGTTAGGAAACTGGCAGTAACATTCACAGCAAGTCTGGGAGAAATCCTAGTCAGGATCCTCCTCTATGTTTCCCAACGGCACCAAGTTGTGCCTTCTCATGGTTTGAGTTAGGTGATAGGTCCTGGCTCACCTCTTTTGGGGAGAAGTTCTAGCATTACCGTAGAAGTACTTTCCATTAATATGACCCTTGATTTCTACTTGGCTTTCAATCCTGTGTCCACCCCTGCCACAAATTGGCTAAAGAACAAGTCCTCTTGGCCCACCAGAGATCAGGTGTTCCTCGCTCTTGTTGGCTTGGGTCAGGTCTCAGAGGGTGAATTTCCATCTCTAAAAGGAAGATGCTTTAAGAGCCAGCACAGTGTTGTCAGGTATACCTGGATTTGAATCCTAGCTCTGCTGCTAACTGAGTGATCTTGAGCAAGTTACATGGCTCCTCAGGGTGTCAGTTTTGTATCTCTAAGCTGGATGATCATAGGATTGTTCTGAGAATTAAATGAGCTAAGTATTTAGCACATCCTCAGCACTCAAATTAGTGGTGGTGATGGTGGTACTGTGGTTACTATTTGTGGGGTGGTCACTGATATGAACTCCCCCTTCTTCTCCTGAGCATGGGACCCACCCTTCACTCTCCCAAGAGTGCATCGCTGTGAAGAGTTAGCCACTTAGCAAAAGAGAGGGATGGTGGATATGGCAAGGAGGAGGGATAGTCTAGTGATAAATGAAGGGATGAGGGAAGGGGATGGGAGGCCCAATTCTACACTTGCCCCCAGTCCTCATCCCTAGGGCAAATTGCTCAGACCTTCTATGAGCCTGTTGCAAGGGAGATCTCCCATTTTGGATAAAATCTCCTCCCAGTGTTTTAAAATATCTGGTCACAAAGCCTAGGGTGCAGACCAAGAGTTTGGGATCATTAGCGGAGGAGGTGTGTTGGTGAGGCAGGGGTTGGTGACCTGGGCACTGGCCGTTGAACATGTTTGGCTGCCGAGGGCCTTTGGCTCTTCTTCCAGGGGGTCCTGGAGGGCCTGGAGGCCCAGGTGGGCCAGGTGGGCCTTGGTCACCTTTGGCACCTGGAGAGAGAGAAAAAAAGGGAAAGAGGGAAGAGGAGGGGGAGAAAGATTGATTAAAGTGCTATAAACAGAGATTGGGTCACGTGAGGGTAAAGGAAATAATGAGCAGCTCCAGGTAGCTTCACTGAGCTTATGCCTTCCCAGACTCAACTTGTCCATGCTGAGCTGAGGGGCAGCCCACAGCAGGTGCTGAGTACCAACTACACGCCGGAAAGTGTGCTGACAGTTTTACAAATCTCCAATCATTCTTCCAAACTACTCTGTGAGGTGGTAGTAGTATCCCTTCAGGAAACTGAGTCTTAGAGAAGTTAAGTGATTTGCCCAGGGTCAGAACCTGAGGAGAGTTGGAGCTCAAGTTCAAGCGTGTCTCACTCCAAAGCTCCTCTTTCTTCATTGGCCAGTGTCAGTGGGTCTCAACCCCACTGCTTATTTGAATCTCCTAAGGAACTTTGATAAAATTCTAATGCCTGGGCCCCATCCCAGCCCAATTAAGTCAGAATCTTGATGGGGAGGTTGGTCATCTGTATCTTTTAAAACTTCCTGGTATGCAGCCAGGTATGAGAAGCACTGGTAGAAGAAATCGGGAGCTCCATTAGGTTCTGGTTCTATTCAGCTTTGTGACCTCGGGCAGAGAACGTAACCATTCTGAACATGTTTCTTTATCTCCAAATTGAGTCTCATAATCTCTGTCCTGCCCTGTGAGAACCACCGAGGCCATTGCTATAATGCTTCCATTAGGTTCTGGTTCTATTCAGCTTTGTGACCTCGGGCAGAGAACGTAACCATTCTGAACCTGTTTCTTTATCTCCAAATTGAGTCTCATAATCTCTGTCCTGCCCTGTGAGAACCACCGAGGCCATTGCTATAATGCTTTGACAGCTGTGATCCCTACACACCTGCAGGCAGCCACTCCTTTAAGTTTAGGTAGCCAATGTGGCTGCAGCCCTTTGCAAGGGCTGTTAGTTCTGGAGCTTTTGTAAAGATGACATTTGCTGGGCTGTTCAGCCTTTGATTCTATCCTCCTATCCTGGGCTGAAACTGGTGAGCTGAGGTCTCTGTAGCTGCCTCTTCCCAGCCAGACCAAATAAGCCTTTTCGGTCTCTCTAGACTGGGCAAGCAGAGGCCACAGGGGCTGGTGGTGGGTTTACGTTCAGTTCAGAAGGGGCAGAGCAGACATAGTCTGGCCCTCCTACACTTCTCCACTCTCCACCAGAGGACACAGTCAGCTCTGGCCTGGTCCCTTGAATTGGGGTACACTCAGGAATGGTGTTTTTCTGCATGGTTTGTCATCACTCCTCACTTGTCCAGCAGCATAGGGGAATGTGGTATTCTGGATGTACAGATTTCCCGTATAAATGTAACGTGACCTTATATTTTCAAATATGTTTATGTATATTACACTGTCGAAGCACTTCTTAAATTTTACATATTTTACATAGCAACATCCCCTGTTTATGAAACAAAATGTGCTAAACATAATTTGGTGTTTCCTTGATGCTTTGGCTTTAGCACAGTACCTGGCAAATAGTAGGCACTCAATCCGTTTAGAATGGGCAGATGGATGGCTGGATGGGTGACTGATGCAGGGTCATTATTCTGAATACTTATTATCATCCTAGCTTCATGAGGACAGATATTATGTCTTACTCATTTCCATATTCATATTTCTAGCTACGAGCAAAGTCCTTGATTCATAAACGCTGCTCTCAGGTATTCAATAAATGTTCATTAAGTGCATTCATAGAATAGTTATGTTTTTATGATATAGATGGTCTCCAAAGGACCATGCTTTTAAAATTCTTCTGCTGCTCCCTTCTCCATAACAATCAGCTGTCACTTACTCTTTTCACCATGTGATTGTCTTTGTGTGGATCACTGCCCCTTTGTGTGGCTCCTCCCCAACAAAAACCAACTGTCTGCTCTTACCCTGGGCTGGAATATCAGCCCCTGTTATCCTGCCCCAATCCTGTGTCAAAGGCTTAGGATCAGAGCCTGAGGATGGCACTACCTCAACCGTGAAGAAAATGCTTGTGCTCCTGTCATCCTCTGAGGTGTCTTAAGTTGCTTACTTGTCTTGCTCTGAATTGTGCTGGATTTCAATAGATACTCAGAAAAGGAAGCTCCCTTCATCCCAGTCAATCCAACCAGGCTTTTAGACCTGAATTATTTAAATAACACATGCTTAGATCCCAGATCCCGTCTTGCCCACATGTAGTAACATGCACAGACTTCTCCTTTTTGAAACCACAGCCACTGAAACATACTGCAAAACAGATGGCCACATAAAGCCAATACGCAGAGAAGATGCAGTGCAGCCCTTATGTTGAAAACCAGGCAGGTGTCTGCACCTAGGAGTGCCCCTACCTGCCGGAAGCACATCGTTGGACACATCTCCTTTGTCTCCCTTCTCACCCTTCTGCCCTGGTGGGCCCTCGTTTCCAGTCGAGCCCAGTTCACCAGGGTCTCCCTTTTCCCCTGGACTTCCTGTGGCTCCAGGTAAGCCTGAGAAAAAAATGACATTAGCCTGTTGTGCAAGAAGTTCTGGTCTACCATTTTGTCATTTTGTAATACAGTTGGCTCTCATCTGCGTGTTCCATATTTGCCAAGTCAACCAAGGATCAAAAATATTCAAGAAAAAAAAAAAGGAAAATAACAACATGACAATAAAAAGTAATACAAATAAAACACAATACAGTATAACAGCTATTTACATAGCATTTACATTGTATTAGATATTACAGGTAATCTAGAGATGACAATGTATACAGAGGATATGTATAGGTCATATGCAAATACTATACCATTTTATATCAGAAACCTTAGCATTTGTGAATTTTGGTATCCATGGAGGTCCTATAACCAATCCCTTGCAGATACTGAGGGACGACTGTATTGTACTTTGTACTTTGGGATAAAGCAGCTTTACAAACCAAACACATAACCCTTCATAACCATTTTAGGGAAGCAATGTGGCCATGAATTCATTAAAGAAGAGTGAATTCATTTCCAGGTGGCTCTGCTGGAATATTTTCAGGGAAATCTGGCTGAGCCAACAGGTTGGAGAGAGAAGTGAACCACAGAAGGGATGATCACAGACAATAGCATAAAGAGGATAAGGAAAGCCTAATTAGAAGCCTGGCACCATCCCACAAAGGATAAACGGGACACCCAGAGGGCTGTTTGGTGCTAGAATAGTGGGTGTCATCTATGTTATTTAGCTTATTCCTTGTGGCATATTGGAGCGGTCGGCTGGGCAGCTAATCTTACTCTCACTCTACAGAGGTTGAAACGAAGGCTACAGTGGTTGTAACTAATGCTGTTAAATGAACAACAAAGGGCCTCTGATTGCATCTCTAATGCCCTTTTCTGTGACATTCTAGTGCAAAATGCTTTAAATTACAATAGCAAAACAAGTAAAGTTGCTTTAGGACAACCATTAACAGGGACGGTGATATTGTGAACAAAAGGTAGTGAGTGAAATTTCTGCTTCATGTGGAGCCGTGACTCCAGGAATTACTGTCCTCCCACACACCACTAGAATCAGTCAAGGTCTAAGCAACAACTCTTCTCAGCACTGGACCGTGGTCAGCACAGGGCACCCTTGATTGTCCTTGCTTACTGTTGGGAGGTAGTTCCCAGCAGCTCGGGGAGGGAGAACTCAAAGAGAGCCTGGCAATCTCACTGAGTTGAGGAGCCAAAAATCAGAGTTTGGGAAGGTGGAGGTGGCTAGAATTTGTGAGATAGAAGAGCAGAGAGGAGAGCGCTATGTAGAAAAAGCCCTGGAGATCTACAGATGAGTCTCTGGCTGAGTGTTGACCTATGCAGGGTGGAACTCTACAGGGCCAGAGAGAATTCATGGACAGTTCACTATGGAATTCTCAGAGCTCACCCAGCAAGAAGTTCTCATTCCCATCAGTCAATGTGGAGAGATCTCATAAAATAATGGGATATTGGGCAGAGCCCTTGGAAAAGTCTTGTCTTAGTAGCGGGGCTAAATTAGGGTAAAGGCTGCTGTGGACCCATCATTACAAAGCTTAAAAACAAGCTATGAAAGGATCAAACTGTTCTGCAAGTAATTTAACTGTCTGCCAGAACAGAGTCCAAAATTTAAACTATTCAGTCAATGTAATTTAGCATATTAACAATTTAAGCAAGAAAAATTGTATGATTGTCTCAACAGATGCAGAAAAAGCATTAGATAAAATTCAATACCTGTTCTTAATAAAAATTCTCATCAAAGCAGGAATAGAAGGGAACTTTCACAATGTGAAAAAAGGCATCTATGAAAAACCTACAGCAAACATCACTCTTAATGGTGAAAGACTTAGTGCTTTCCATCTAATATCAGGAACAAGGTGAGGGTATCAATTCTCATCACTTTTATTTAGCATTCTACTAGAGGTTCTAGCCAGAGCAATAAGGCAAGGAAAAAGAAATGAAAGGCACACAGGTTGGAAAGGATGAATTTAAACCTTTTGTTTGCAGATGACATGATTGTTTATGTAGAAAATCTAGAACTCATCAGTACACAGGTCTACTGGGGCTCTCAGAGGGGAAGTAATTGCCTAATATTGTGCAAACATATTGCCAGATGTGGATTAATTAACACAATACTCTATTTCAGAGAATATTTGCTCGTTTTGACAACAGCTCCCTGGAGATACAGCTCAACAGAGATACTGCAGACATTTCAGGCAACAGAGAAGAGCCAGAGGCATGTTTTAGTGCAAGCAAATCTTTAGTTCCTCTTAATGTTCATAGCCAAGAGGACTTAGATCTCTTGCCTTTTCTAATTACACTGCCAGTCCCCATGCCACTCCTTCTGTGCCTTGGCTAAGTGACTGCCCATTTATCCCTCTCTTATGCCCCATCAACTTGGCCAATCCTTATTCTCCATTTGTCATCCTTCTGGCATTGCAAATGTCCTCCCTCCAGATTTAAAACCATATCTGGACCACCCCCCCACCACCACCAACTGCCAGCCCCATTAGATTACAATGTAATCATCCCAAGAGAATCATAGCATTCCAGATCAGAAGGACCTTAAAGGTCTTTTAGATCCACCTCCCACCCAGTCCTACAAGCCTTTCTACACTACCCAATTGCTTCTTCTCAAGCCCTTTCAGTGATGAGAAGGTTATCATGTAAGAACACATGCTGCCATACCAGTCAAGTGTTCTCTGAAACATAAATCTGGAGCTCTTAGCACTTTTCATTTACCCTGAAGGAGTGATAAGCATTCAGAATGGTTTCTGCTCTTCCATATACAAGGGACTGTCCAAGCAAAACCATCTCAAGGAAGATATCAGTGAATGAAAGAACCTCAAAGTGCTGAACACTCTTATAAAATGTAGAGAACAAAGAAACGTCTGCTAGATTTCAGCCAACCATAAAAAAACTCAGTGAATACCTGAAATTCATCTATAGCTGGGAGGCAGAAGCCTGGCACCCTCACCTCTACTAGTGGTAAACTTCGGGCAACCTGCCCTGGTGAAGTTGGGGGGACACAGTGGCAGAGGTTCTAAAGAGGGGTGGGGGGAACCCCTCCATTGTCAACACTTGCTCTGCCATGGGTTCAGTAATACAGGGGAGAGTGAGTCACATCATGTCTCTTCCGTGGTGGGGGGTCATGGCTCATAATGCATCTCTCACAACAGCACTGAAAACCCATCGCAATGGGTCATCTCTGCCCAAGGCCACCTGGACATCCGACTGGAAAATAGTTCACTCACTTGAGAGAAGCCCTTATGCAGAGCCCTCTGCATGAGAAGATGTTCTTTTGTTAGTATTTTAAACAGGCAATTTGGCACATTATCTGAAGGAAACAAAAGATGAGAACGTTGCCATAGAGTCCAGCCAGCACAATGCACCAAGTGTAACTGATACGTTCTGTAAGTTTCACATAACCCAGATTTAGCAGTGCTCAGGGAAATGGTATCTGCTAGCTACTTGAGAGTTTTCTTTTTCAGCCATTTATTCTAGTCACAAAGAGCCTTTCTGCATCATCATCCAATTTCCACTGAGTTTCACATAACCCAGATTTAGCAGTGCTCAGGGAAATGGTATCTGCTAGCTACTTGAGAGAGAGTTTTCTTTTTCAGCCATTTATTCTAGTCACAAAGAGCCTTTCTGCATCATCATCCAATTTCCACTTACTTTCTTTTATTCCTTCCTCTTATGCCTTTATTTTCTTTCTCACAAAGGCCATATGTGCAATAAGAAAATGTCCATACTGTAATGTAGCTGTTGTAATGCAGCCCCCACAGGGGCAGGCATTTAAAGCTATTAAAGGCCTTTTCTTGAGGATGTATTTTGACGTTTACCTGGGTCGTGCATGACAATAAGCTTTCAGTAAGAAAGGGTGGGGGCATTTTGTCTCTGTACAGTCTGCCTTTGCCCTCTTGTCAACCGTCACCTCTGACAAAGCACCCCCTTTGTCTTCGTTGGTAAAATCACCCTGGCCATGCATTGGCCGTGGTGTGTCAGAAATAAAACACCACCTTGTCGCAATTCAGCAGCAGAGGACCTGTGTGTGGCATCTTCTACTCTGCCTGACTCAGGGAAGGTAGGGAAGGTCAGGGTGCAAGCCGTGCACAGTGACACTGCGATGCCACGGGATCAGGACCCTGGCATTGTTTGTTCCGTGACCCCTGGCTGGCTTTGAGTCAGCACATTCTGCCAGAGAATCAAGTCCAGATTCTGCCCGCCTCACTTGTGTCCTAGGAGTGGCTGTCTGCTGTTTTACTTCTGTAGTGTCGCCCACTCAAAACAGCCAGTTTCGCCAGCATTAGAGTTTGGGGTGTGCGATATCTCTGGGCTGGGGTCAACTCCGTCATCTGCACAACGGGGGGTGAGGGAGGACGTCTTATTTTTGACAGTACCATCTGTCGCTGACTAGGGCAGGAGGGGGAAAGGGGGCCAGAGGGTGTCACACAAAACCCAGTCCCAAGACACGAATAAGGAGGAGGGAATTTATTTCTGGGTTTTTTTGTTTTTTGTTTTTTATGAGGATTTAATTTTTCGAGAAGACACTGCTGCCTTAACTCTTAAGTGAGAAAATGAGAGACTGATGGGAAAGAAAATGCTTGATTTTGAGGCAACAGAACATCAAACTTCATAGAAGATGCACAGTGACACTGCGATGCCACGGGATCAGGACCCTGGCATTGTTTGTCCCGTGACCCCTGGCTGGCTTTGAGTCAGCACATTCTGCCAGAGAATCAAGTCCAGATTCTGCCCGCCTCACTTGTGTCCTAGGAGTGGCTGTCTGCTGTTTTACTTCTGTAGTGTCGCCCACTCAAAACAGCCAGTTTCGCCAGCATTAGAGTTTGGGGTGTGCGATATCTCTGGGCTGGGGTCAACTCCGTCATCTGCACAACGGGGGGTGAGGGAGGACGTCTTATTTTTGGCAGTACCATCTGTCGCTGACTAGGGCAGGAGGGGGAAAGGGGGCCAGAGGGTGTCACACAAAACCCAGTCCCAAGACACGAATAAGGAGGAGG